CACCGGGGGGGGCGGCTTGTTTTACAACGTCGTTGCCAAGCGACGAAAACCCAACCCCGATGGCAAACACCGAGGGGGGGGGGTTTCTTCAAAGCAGCGTAGATAGGATTAGGATTAGGATTAGGATTTCCCAATGGGCGAAGTGTGAAGTGCACGTGGAGAAGTGGTAGTGCTAGTACTGCTTCGGTGCTTGATGCATACGCATCTGTGCATCTGTGCTATCCCTATTGACCAATACAGCAGTCTCTCAACCCTATACTGTAGTAAATATTGTCACTATTATTCTAGTACGGCTCTCGATACTCCGCTCAACCTATCAGTACGCTCAGTACGAGCTCTAGTGGAGGTCTGCTCTCCATGCTGTACTGGCGTAATACTGCGCAACACTGCACGCTTCAGTACAGCGCTTGATACTGGCGGTACTGCACAGTATTCAGTGCCTGCGAGGCATACTGGAATGTACTGGCTGTTTTAGTACAGCTCTCGATACTGGAATGAAAAGTTTCAGTACTTTTAGTACAGCTTTCGATACTGGAATGAAAAGTTTCAGTACTTTTAGTACAGCTCGCGGTACTGGAACAAACTGCACCCTTAGAACGGCTCTTGATACTGGAATGTACTGGCTGTTTTAGTACAGCTCTCGATACTGGAATAAAGGTTTCAGTACTTTTAGTACAGCTCGCGGTACTGGAACAAACTGCACCCTTAGAACGGCTCTTGATACTGGAATGTACTGGCTGTTTTAGTACAGCTCTCGATACTGGAATAAAGGTTTCAGTACTTTTAGTACAGCTCCCGATACTGGAATGTACTGTACTGACAACACGGCCCTCAGTACTTTGTTGTTGTTGTTGTTGTTTCTCACATTAGCTCTCAAGTCCACAAAAAATGGGGAGCCCGTGGTCTCAAAACCCGGCAAATACGACGCCGCGGGGAAACAAAACAAAACTAGGTTACAAACCACTCGGAACAAGAACACAAAATGATAGAAAGAAAACAACAGGTATCGCACCGACCGTTCGAGAAAAGAGCCCTCGGAAACCGATCAAAATAAAACAAAAACAAAAATAAAGGAGGACGTTTCCCACACCCGCCCAAAGAAAAAATCAAAGGGTAACGTACCAGCACCAGGCACTACGCACCAGGGCATGGGAGTAACGGAGAAAACATGACAGAGAGGCGGCAGACGGGCAGACAGCCAGACGTACAAAAACAAAGGCAACAGCAAAGCGAGATCACGGTACCCAACACAGCAGAGTAGGCAGGGAGATCATGAAAAAAAGAAAACAAACACAGCACAGAGGCCGAAGGCAATACAAAGGACATACATAAAGGAGTATAGCATACAGCAGGGAGGAAAACAGGGCGCAACAACATCAGCCGGGCACATAGTTCGCCACAAGAGCTGCCTCGGCCGCCCTACTCGCTTCTACAGCAGTGCCCAGTCGCCGTTTCTTCCCCCCCACCGCTGCTTTCCCGGCTCTCTTTCTCTTCGGTCCTGAGGCCGTACTCTCTGCTTCTGCTTCCCTCGCGCGCTGGCGCTTCGCGGACGCTTCCGTCTCCTGCCTGTGCCATTTCCTCATGAACCATGCCGCCCCGTCCTCGACCTTGTGGTACCACACCTCCGGGTCCTT